AAAAAAAAAAAAAAAAAGAAGAAGAAGAAGAAGAGAAAGAACAGAAGAAGAAGAAGAAGAAGATCAGTGCCTTGCTCCACTCACCACACACAAAAAATAAAATAAAAAATGGCGGTGCATCATTCCACGTTGTAGCAGAAAATTCATTCTTGCACACTTGGGGAGTGGTATAGGCCCACATTCTCCTCTCCATTTGGCACATTCGGTGAGTAGTGCAGCAAGGCCCTACACCCTCAGGGCATACTCACACAAGTACTTTTCTAAATGTATCGGACCAGAATTACGATCAGACCTGGATGAATCTGACCGCAATAACGTCCAGAGCTTAGTGGAAAAAGTTTTAGTACGAGTATGCCCTCAATCAGCTTCTCGAAATCAAGGGACGGCAACCAAAAAAAGAAACACAGACATCTAATTGACAAAAAAAAAACGAAAGAAACAGAACATCTCCACATATGCACAGTTCAGATTTTCTCAACTTACTGTGGACGTAATTGCGGTCACATGCATCCAAGTCTAGCAGACGAGTCAGGTACATCCAGGAAAGTCCTCATGGGAGCATGCCCTCACTCCTCCGTGATCTTCTCTTCTAATGAGAACGACGGCCTCGTTCATCCACCCACCACATGCATAAAATAAAAACATGGCGGTGTATCTTTCCATGTTCTATGGGAACATTCATGCTCAATTGGCACATTTAGCGAGTGGTGTAGCCAGGCAGGGAAGAGAGAAGAGCCACGTCATACGATACGGACGCTTCTCTCTCTCTCTCTCTCTCTCTCTCTCTCTCTCTCTCTCTCTCTCTCTCTCTCTCTCTCATATGATGATGAAGGCAACCTACCGGCTCTCCGATTTGATCAAAGCCTTCCAACTTAGACGGCATAGGAGGTGCGAGCACAGCCGCCACCCCACGATGCCTGTTCAACGACAAAGGGGGCAATCCAACCTGTTTTGTTCATGCACAAAGAAAAAGACAACACCACAAAGCGGCCACCAAAAAACAGAAGTGAGATCAGCCCGAGGGAAGAATTGGGGAGCGATCGGTGTGAGCTCGGGCGTGGGGAGAGAGAGAGAGAGAGAGAGAGAGAGAGAGAGAGAGGAGAGAGAGAGAGAGAGAGAGAGAGAG